CTGAATTAGAAGAAGCTTGTAGCTTTTAGCAGAAATCCTGTTTTATGATTCTACAAATTTTTTAAACGCATACATAGTACTCTGTCAACAGTACATCATTCCTACGCTTTCCAATTTTTTAAATAACCTGGCATGAATTGTGAGTTAAAGTCATAAAGGTGAATCACCACATTGTAATTGTACAATTAGTGAAGCATACACTCTAGTTTTCTCATTTCTCATTTCTCATTTATAGACTGACATACTCACAAATGTATACATCGACACACAATACACAAAGCCACATCAGTGGATTTGAAGAGAGATTATTGCAAATCTTTAACTTACACAACAAGCCAGCCCGAGGAAAGTTAATCAAAATCAAATTAGAACATGAAAGCACATTATTGCCACAGTAAGACATGGCGCTATATATGCCCCACCTTTGATGAGGTTGACACAATCAGAGAAAACACAACGTGTGTACTAACATCTTTTTATAATCACTTTTCATTAGAGGCCCTACTGTGACACTAACGAAATGCAACCAATTAGCAACTCCTCTTATCTGATTAAAATGGTTTTGCTATAAACAACAGAGTGTCTTATAATGAAGAGATTCCTCTCAGTCAGGGTTTATTTTGGAGCTGCTAGAACTGTATCTCTCTTTGCTGACTCTTTACCTCAGCTTTTACTTTTAAAAAAGGGACAGACTCTTAATTATGGTTACTAATTTATGCATCTTCTTTCTGCCTCATGAGTGGTGTTTGGTGTAAAAACAGATGGGGCTGTTCCTTGGAGGGGACATGGTACTTACCAAACAGTAAATAGAGTTTAAAAGCTTGTTCTTTTTATTTATTTTACACATGTGTGTTAAATTTTCCATCACAAATGACAAATTTAACAAATCACAGGGTAAACATGTTGATGTAATTGAGATGACTTGCTGATGTTGAATTCTAGCATCGTTCAATGTTGTCAGGTTGTTTGTGTCTGATAGATTGGGCGGTCCTCATAAAATGAAAATATCACACACATTACCCTTTAAAGGGGAACGCCGTTTTTTTATATTTGGACCTTGATTTTACATTATTACATCATGTTCTACTCACCCATATGAGTTTTGTGTCATTTGGAGCCGTTCTTAAGGTATTCCGTTATATTCAAGTAACGTCTTCCTATGAGCAAACGACTTGAAGGCACAAACTAAACTGTTTATGATTTATTCTTTATGGTACGCCAGCATTCATAACATGTTAGCGAATCACTGCCTCCCAGACATCCACGGTTATATTTTTTATATTTCTATTTTTAAAAAACAAAGAGGCGCGTGTATGACGTCATCCGTGCTCGCCAGCTACCGTTCATTCTTCCTGTCCGCTGAACTGCTGCTAGTTTTACCCACATGCCTGGAAGATGTCTAGTGCTACTACCACAGATGATCTCGCTCTCGAAATGGAATTGAACGATTCAGATTAGCTAGCCAAATGAATAGAAGGGGTAGAGCGTAGCCGCCTGGTGTAATGTGCTTTCGTTAAATAAAGCTATAGTGTGTAATAATTACAGGGATATACAGTCAGAAATGTAATATATTATACATAACTATGTAATTTATCATCATATACGAGCTCAGCCTCTTAACCTTAATATTTGCATTGCCTTAGAATTCGTTATTTATAATTACATAGGAGCGGGTCTCGCAG